ATGAAAGGAGAAAGTTTCGGTGAAGTGGAAACTCGCATCAACAGCGAGAGAAACACAACTGACAGTCGCAACATTAATAAAAGTTATTAATAAATATGTGTTGGTAGATGAGTTATAACAAAATTAGACGAAAATTTGCACATTATGAGAATAAATAGAATTAATAACTCCACTTTGACGTAATGGGCTCTATGAGATGTTGTATTTATCTGTGATATTTTTATCTTAATACAACGCACATACATCTACATACACATTTCTGTATATTTCTAATATACAGAAATTTCGTGAATCCATTATTTCATATTAATATAAAGCATGATACATCACTCAGCGAGACGACACGCAGCAGCAGCGGAGTAGAATGTGGATATAAACAAATTATAGCAATAAAATAGCTAAAATTAAAAAAAAAGAATTGTTGCTCGTACTTGAAATAATTCTATACTATTAATTCTGTGACAAATAAATTTGTGATTAATTCAGAATAAAATAGTAATAAAATATTCATCCCCGCCTCCCTGATTCACCGCGTCACCCAATATCAATTCCCAGACCTGCTTTTCCTCTCAGATTTACACCGGGTTCGTTGCACTCGCACAACACCCGCGAAAACACGATTAATTACGATCGCGCCCACGCTAATCATCCGAATCCGACGATCGCAGTATTTCGGACTCTCCCGACGTTGACCGTATATCTCCGAAATACACAAAGTAATATTAAAAAAAAACCGATATATACCTGCGCACATACACGGTTTTCCAATTTGAAATCACGTCCGACGAGTCACATATATTTTGTACCGTCTTCTCACTCCGAAGACGAAGCGGCAGATATCGTTTAAGTTAATGGAAACTGCGAATCGCGAAATACGAGATGTGTCCAAGCATAACTGTCATTATACGTATACGTTATGCTCATTCCTCGTATACATATTTTAACGGAAACGTTAACGTGTAATTCTTATTACTTGCAAAAATCGCATTTTAATACTTGCCTGAAGTTATGCGAGTGGCACTCGCGTCGACGCGCATTATGCCGTTATTGATTCCGCATTCGGAATCGGAGCAAATCGAGTGCGTGCTCGCCTGAACGCTGAGAGCCCCGTAGGTACAGGGCAACTGCCTGCCCGCATGAGACTCGGCCGAACGAATTGTTACGCGCGGCGACCTTGCGTACACAACGCACCGTGACGTCAAAACAACAAACGCCGGGAGTACCGAACACCGAGTATGACTTCCAGGGAATATTTCACGCGTTTACAAAACAAAATGCATAACGGTATATATATATACCAAATATATATACCGTTCCTTGCATTTCGGAGTGATTTCAAACCGACCGTTACCGCGCACCGCATCGAACATTTTAACTGGAGATATATTATTTTATCTATATAGATCGAACACAGGCATTTACGTAACTTTAACTTCTTATCGTTACTGCTACGCCAAATTTTTATGTCCCAAGAGAAATTATATGATTTTAACGAGTCGAACATTTTTCTTCTGTGATTTTTTTTTTTTTACCAAGTCGTGGAAATGACGTCCAATTTTCCTTTTGCTCTCTCTTTTCTCGATTTATTAAAATCGCGCGATTAAAATCATACCTCTAAAATTTAAAGGAGAAAGACGATAATAATGGGTTATATAATTTTAATTTTTCAATCCCGAAACAAAGAAATCTTTCATTCTGCCTCAAAATTCGAATTAATACTAGATTTATTATTTCCCTTGAAGCCGCGGGTATTTAAAGTTTTCGCAATTTCCGGGGAAAGGAGTTTGACGAAGAATCAAATGACGGCGCGTAGACGATAATTTAAAATAACCTCGTAATACGGGAAACCGCTCTTTAACGTGAATTTCTCAAGGGGACCAGCTCTGCGTCTGACCGTTTACATGGCACTACTACTGAATGCGGAAAGGGAGCTGAACATTTGCAACAGCCAACAAAGTCAACGCGCGTTTCGCAGCCGCGGCGGCAACGGCAGCGGCAGCGCGGCGGCGTCGGCTGCAGGCAAGCAGGCGATACAAGGCTGACGGGCGCCGAAAGCGAATTACCACCGCGAGACCCCCGGATGGTTCCCGGTGCACGTTCGTTGCGGCACTTCGACACTCGCGCGATCCGGGAAGTCTGGGATGTAAATGGGTTCCGACAATCGCGAAAGCGGAAGGCATGCGCGCGCGATATCACTCCCACGGCGCGAATATAATCGCGACGACATGCGGAACGAAATAACAGCCGCGGGGAAAGTGTGTTGGCGCAACAACGGGGCAACAACTTCGCCGTATTTCGTAAGTAGCTCCGGATTACGCACGCTAATGAAGTTTCCACGTGCGCGCGTCTCGAGCGTTTGTTAATTGGAGATACATGAATCCAATTGTAATCGCGCTGAGAAAATTGCTTACAGCGAGTAAACTGTAAGGCGGCGGGGAGGGTGCGCGAGAATAACTTTTGCGTCTAACTTGCGGGGGGGGAGGGGGGAGGGTAACTCATAAAGATCAACTGCACTATGCTAAGATTAAACATACTTTACAAGTTAATCCGGAGAGAAACCGTAACACACACCGCAACAGCGAGACGAAGTTGGCGATAAAAGACCTACTAGAGCGAGCTGCTCTACATTTAGCGACACTTCGTTTCTTCCGGCGCGGCTCAGGGAGATGCACGCGGGACCCTCTCTCCTGTCTCCCTCCCTCTTGTCCTCGCGCTTTTGTGCCACGGAGCTCGCCCGGCGCGCCTTATTCTCACGATATATAATTGTCCCGGGACAAATGAACCAGTCCCTCGCTCTCTACCTCGTCTCGTAAGAAATTAAAAATTTCAGTGGCTCGACCTGACGTTCTGTCGCCCGACAAATTGCCACCGCGACGAACGTGACGGCTCACACCAAACGCGCCTCTGGCTCGACGCGGAGGAGAAATAGAAGAAAAGTACGGACACACTCCGCTTAAACGAGACCCCTTTGACGGAAATTGGAAGAGGAAATTTCGTATTTAGGAGTAAACCCACCTCCGTGGAATTTCAAGTGTGTCTCACGGTACCTCTCAGTGCAAATAACGCATGGCGAAGATTCTTTTTTTTTTAGACAAACAAGAATTAGCCCAATCGATCCTTTTGTTATTACAAAGAGTAAGAGAGAAAGAGAGAGAGAGAGAGAGAGAGAGATTTTCTGTCGTCTTTCTATAGCCAGATATTTTGGCGTTCTTCGACTGACGCGGATAGACAACAAAAGGCTATGACGCTATTCTTTAATCGCTCGATATACGATATAATTGTTGATCCTCGAGACTAACGTGTCGGGTGGGCGCGTTATGCAAATGCGGCTCAGACGCCATATGATATTTTCATGATGCGGATTCAGCCGACCGCACAACTAGCTGTCTGCCATATAGGAGGCCGTAATATCGGTTAAACGAGTTTGTCCCGTCCGCCGTCCACCGGCTGTCCGCAAAATCTGCAAATAATTCTGTGACAACCTCCCATCGGTGCGCGGCGAAAGAATTGCGACGAATCGCGTGTTTAACGACGTTTGTGGGATATCCCGGGTATCCCGGTACATATATCTGTGCCGGTAGTTGCAATGGATCGATCGTACGTTCAACACCCACGATACTTCTAATCCTTAATTAGACTTGGCTCTCTCGAATTGGCGATCTCTATTATTTGCGATTGAATTCGCCACCGAGATCTCTTCATTATCAATTAATTATTGTCCGCATACTTTTGACAATCGAATTCTGTTACAGCCGTGCATCGCCGATTATCCCGTCAATTACGGATCGGATTAACGGGAACTCGCGTTATCATAAATCCGGGGCCAGGCAGGGCTGATCAATGTTGATTACATTTGATTACGGCCGGCAACATCCTCGCAAGCGGCGCATCATCCTCCCTCCTACAGCATTTTATTATCTCCAATTTCGGGGCGCGTCAAACGACATATAGAATATTCCATTTATTTGACACCGATATTTCATGTCGACCAATTTTCCAGGGTTGTATAAAACTAAACTTTTTTGCGTCGCACGATACAGTTATTTACAACGGTCGCATGAAATACACACGCGTTCCAATAGAAAAAAAAAAGATACGCGGATCAGAGTTTAGAAAATCGCGTTTACTCTCGTTCAGCATTTTTTCCGATAAAATGTGTCGAACAAATAATGTAACACCGAAACGTTTTGCCGGCTGGCAAAATTCTTTCATAATTCGTGCCATAGCAATCATTATTATGAATTTGTTGCATTTACGTGTGTACCAGCCGCAATTTTCTACGTTATTAAATTCCAAAATGGGGGCTTCATATTTTCATTTAATTTTTGCAACGTAGCCATATATTTGCTGAATGCAAGTGATTGCCACGTAATACTTATTATTATTCTCACAACTGTCCATAAAATTGTAATTACTACTATTACTAATGCCTTTTTAATAATTGTAGGACACTCGTCGATTGTAAATTCGCGAATTTTCGAGTGATTAATTATCCCGCGCTTTTTATTGCTCTCGCAACGCGAGTCGACTTGGTTTAATTCACGAACGGCCAGCGTCGACCAGGTAGTCGATCGATGCCATTTTTTCCCATTTCGAGCTCAGGCCTTAATCCGCAGATAAGCTTCGCGTACACGTAGAAACATACATTTGCGTACATCCGTCGTCATACGTTTAAATTTCCGCGAGGAGAGCCCCTGCAAGCTCGCAACGACGTTCGTTTTGAATAGAAAAAAGGGTTGAGCCTAAATTGATGGAAACGCTCCGCCGAAGCTGTTAGCGGACTGTTTAATTTTAACGTTCGTAGAGCTTTGCATTGCCATGCATCGTCCGACCGAGTTCAGCCCCGACTTTAAATTTTCGATTCCCATTTTTCCATTTCGTATACCTACGTTTGCGCGCTGTGGTGATTTTTTTTCTGCGTCATGTGTCTTGATTTCGTTCGATACGATTGCGTCGAACGTATATCAAATTTTTGCAGGTTTGATTTCATAAAGTCTTACCTTAGGAATTGTGTAGGAACAGTTTTAATACGCCGCAATCCGATCCAAAAACCAAAAGTCTGTAACAAAAAAATATGAAAAATGTTAATAAATACGAGAAGGAAATAAAGGCAATAACAACTAACTATGCCAAATAAATGATAATTATTCGATAATCCGATGCTTTCCTGTATTATAATTGTTATAAATTAGCGTTGATTATTATGGAAATTATTCTCATTTGCTAATCATTAAAGCAGCGTAATCATTGAAACAATAAATTAAATTCTCTCATCGAAGCCAGAATCGATGTAAAAAGAACATTTGTTTTAATTTCAATGCTCCAGTTATAATTCATGAGGATGCATGCAATTGTAATATCAAAAAACTGTCAAGGAAAAAAACGAAGGAAGAAGAAAATAATTCGCCAAAAAGTGACACTCGTTTCATTCACGTTTTTGTCGAAAAAATATCTATTTTATGTTAAATTACAAGCAAAAAAATTCATTTATTTGTACGATGCGAAGTTTAATACAACAATTAAGATATTATATAAAAAATATTAGCGTAAACTCGAAAAAAACAATGAACTTCCTATAATTTGTATATTTATTTTGCGAGTGATTGAAACTAATATTTTGTGTATATTATGAACAAATCAATAAAAATATTTTTATTGATTAAAATGTAGGATTACATTGTATTTCAATTTTTACACATTATCAATCGATTCATAATAATTTTTTATTAACAGTTCAGCCATAACCACCGTATTTTCGTATAATTTATATGTTAATAAACAATGCAGCAAATTTTACATTCGCGCGAGAATGAGATAAAGTGTTGAAAACACGTAAATTTCAAGTTGTTGTCAAAATTATGGCACGTTCATATTTATTATATACATATATGTGGTGGCTGTGGCATACATGATAGTATGCCTGCTCTCCGTGTAGGAGATCCGAGTTCAAAACCATCTAGAACTCAAGTAAACAAATATAAATAAATAAAATAAAAATCGACCCCTATCGTTCTTCCGGCCAACCGACAGTCAACACAACTCTGACGGCTGGATAGGATTCTGTGGGCCAATCACCCGCAAGTCCGAAAAGCAATTGATTCGAGGAAACGAATGCAGGCCGCGGGGTAACGAATGGCTCGATGTGCGAACACGCGAACACATAATCGGCGGTTTCGAGTTTGATCCTTCACCCCATATATGCTTCGATTTTAATGGAGAAGAAACGGTCAACAAAGAAATAGAAACAATAGGCAAGAGCTAGGCAGAAATAAAAAGCGATTGCCCCTAATAGAATAAAATGGAAAAGGCTTGTAGACGTCCTATGCTCCACATAAGGAGATAAAAGGATTATACATAACATACATACATACATATATATATATATAAGTTTTTATTTAAATACAGGTTTGTCGTATTCATAAATGTCTCATATATGAATATGACAGATCCTGTATTTAAATAAAAACTTTTTATATAAGCCTTTCACCGTTAAGTCTTGTGTAGTTCTGCGCAACATAAATGACGATTATGTGTGTGTGAAAGAAGGAAGAATTATCCAAGATTTAATGGTGAAAGGCTTTATAAAAAGTTTTTATTTCAATGGCACTATACTGCTCAGATATCGAGCCAAAGCTTATCATTCTCCTTCATATGTCTGTGGTGCGCACACTGATTATACACAGGCATATGGGACCTACAGTTTAAAGCCGAATCCGAACAGTAGAATTTTTGAGAGAGGTTTTCTAGGTCAAGGATACTCTCGGTGGTTTGCCGGACCTCCGGAGAGGAGACGCAAGAAAATTTGTTGGTTCCACCGGGAATTGAACTCGGGATCTGTAGTATGACAGACCACACTGTTAAATCTATAATGTCAAACTGAATCTTATTTAAGTTGCCACTACTCCTTACTTAATAAATAGTTATTTTTAACTAAAACAATACAGTTATTTTTAAATAAAATAATATATATATATATATATATATATATATATAAAATACTACTAAATATTTTGGTAAAATGAAACAAATTCTGTATTTTTCAACAAATTTTTTTTAGTCCGATACGTTCGACTAAACGTTACTACGATGACACAAAATAATTTTTTACTATTATAAACAAAATACTATTTTTTAACTAAACTTTTTATTTTGTTTCAATAAAAATTTATTGTATTCAACTCAACCGTTCTCTTAAAAATACATACTATTTATTATCCCCATCAGCATCGTTTAGTCAGTTCGATACTTGGAATTTAAACAAATATATTACTTGGCTAACTAAATCTGTCTCTTATACACATCTCTGAGCGGGCTGGCAA